GCTCAAGCGATCCTACTTGCCTCAGCGCCTCCCGGAGTAGCTGGAACTACAGGCATGCGCCACCATGCCCAGCTAATTTTTTATATATTTAGTTGGCCAATTACTTTTCTTTCTATTTTTAGTAGAGATAGGGGTCTCACTCTTGCTCAGGCTGGTTTTGAACTCTGACCTTGGAGTGATCCACCCGCCTCAGCCTCCCAGAGTGCTGTAGGTTACAGGCATGTGCCACTGATCCAGCCAACACCTGGTTTTGACTCCATCCCCTCCTTATAGTCTTGGCTGCTGTACCCACCAGCATCTCACACTCTTTTTCTCTACCTCAACCAAACTGCTATTCCACAATGTGCAATGCTCTCTCGACACTGTCTTTGACTCATTTAAGGTTCCTGCAAACATACCTTCCTTTCGTGGTATTTATTCTGATTTTCCCAATCAGATGTGCCACCTCTTTCCTGTAAATTCCCAGAGCTCTTGGGCTAACACTTTTCTTATGCACTTATTTTCTGCCTTGCATTAAAGGTTAAGCAGCGTATCTATCTTATCACTCACTCTTCATCTGGTGAGCTCCCAACATCCCCGATTAGACCTTCCTCTCAGAATCATACATAACCAAGTGCAATGTCTTATACCAGTCATTGTTTCACAAATGTTCGGCAATGGAATCTCTCCTAAATGCATCCCCCATAACCCTTAGGCATCGCAGGAATCACAATCTGACCTAAGAAGGCCTCTGACTCTGAGCTGAAAGAGCCAAAAAGGAACATGTAGCGAAAGTGAATGTGTTTAGGGTGAATAAGTACTCACCAGGGTATGGGGGCACAAAGAAGGTCCTGACCCGATATGACAATGGAAAGGCTTAAATTAGAAAAGACTTCCGGGAGAAGGAGACTTTACAGGAAGAGTTGCCATGTCCTCATCTTCTTTTCCTAGCAATGGGGTTTCCTAAGACTGTGCATCAACTTCCTGAATAGTACTCTCCACTCCAAGTGGGGTTAAAGTGCTCAGGTGCCGCTCTAACACCCCTTTCTCCATTTCTCCCTCCAGTTATTTGCCCTCTCCTGTTTTCCAAATTCCATGGTGATGAAACAAAATAAAAAAGAACCAGTGAGGATTAGAGGAGAGGACGGCCAGGATTTGTTAGAATGGTTGAGAGGCCAGGAGGATAAAATATTTTAGTATCTGGAGGAATCACACCTCTTCCCCTCATCCTGTCTCAGGGATGGTCCTGTGTGCTCATGCACATTCTCAGGACATTTTTAACAGAGCAGATGTCTGAGCATATGTAGTCATCTTGAACTTCATTAGAAACAAAATATAGAGCCAGAGGAGGTCATCTGCTAAGATGTGGAACTCCAAACAGTATCAGGATAAACTATAAAGTGTGAAAGAGACCAAATTGAATACTATTTTAATAAAAGACCATTTGTTACCAATTGTGTTCACCTACGGTATGTTAATGAAGTCCTGTAGTACACTACTACAATCAACCCACATGGCAGTGGCATTAGCAGCAATCTGGGATCCACCTAATTGTGCCATAGGGCTGGGATATAGTAGTGAACAGCATAAAGCAGGGGTCTCAAACTTTTTAAACAGGGGGCCAGTTCACTGTCCCTCAGGACCATTGGAGGGCTGGACTATTAGTTTAAAAGAAACTATGAACAAATTCCTATGTACACTGCCACATATCTTATTTCGAAGTAAAAAAAAACGGGCAAAAACCTACATGTGGGCCCATGGGCCGTGTAGTTTGAGGACACCTGGCATAAAGTCTCAAGACACATATTCTGGTTGGGGAGACAGACATCATGAAAACAAAAAAATATATTATTTTAAATACTGATAATTACTATGAACAAAATAGGTAAAGTGCTCAAGTGTCTGGAGTAAGGGTAAGGTAGAGAGGGAGACTTGAGTTCAGATGATTAGAAAGGATATCTAGAGTGAAGAGAAAAGACAATGAGAAAAACCGCGAGAAGAGTATTCCAAGGAGAGGGAAGATCAAGTGGCCCTAATGTGGGAATATGAGGGGCTGGTTCCAAGGCAAGAGTATGGTCAGTAGGCCAGAGCAGGAGGAAAAGGAAGGAAAGGAGATAGAAGAGGGCAGAAAGATAGGCAGGTTAGTCATGCAGAATTCATAGGCTATGAAGAGTATATTAGATCCTAGAAACACTTCAATTGGCCCCTAAATAGTGACCTGGGTGTTGTAAAATCTGGAGCATGTAGGTAATAGCTGGTAGAGTGAGACTCTGTCTCAAAAATAATAAAAAATAACAACCCTGGGAATAGGTATTATTATAACAATTTTTACAGATGAGGAAACTGAGATCCAAATGTTACAAAATCGCCCAA